TATGGCCTCATGGGCACCTGCTCATTTCCTACTCGGAAGCAGGGCCAAAAGTCCCATGCCGCCTTCCATGGCCTCATGGGCACCTGATCATTTCCTACTCGGAAGCAGGGCCAAAAGTCCCATGCCGAATTCCATGGCCTCATGGGCACCTGATCATTTCCTACTCGGAAGCAGGGCCAAAAGTCCCATGCCGCCTTCCATGGCCTCATGGGCACCTGATCATTTCCTACTCGGAAGCAGGGCCAAAAGTCCCATGCCGCCTTCCATGGCCTCATGGGCACCTGATCATTTCCTACTCGGAAGCAGGGCCAAAAGTCCCATGCCGCCTTCCATGGCCTCATGGGCACCTGATCATTTCCTACTCGGAAGCAGGGCCAAAAGTCCCATGCCGCCTTCCATGGCCTCATGGGCACCTGCTCATTTCCTACTCGGAAGCAGGGCCAAAAGTCCCATGCCGTCTTCCATGGCCTCATGGGCACCTGCTCATTTCCTACTCGGAAGCAGGGCCAAAAGTCCCATGCCGTCTTCCATGGCCTCATGGGCACCTGATCATTTCCTACTCGGAAGCAGGGCCAAAAGTCCCATGCCACCTTCCATGGCCTCATGGGCACCTGCTCATTTCCTACTCAGAAGCAGGGCCAAAAGTCCCATGCCGCCTTCCATGGCCTCATGGGCACCTGCTCATTTCCTACTCGGAAGCAGGGCCAAAAGTCCCATGCCGCCTTCCATGGCCTCATGGGCACCTGCTCATTTCCTACTCGGAAGCAGGGCCAAAAGTCCCATGCCGAATTCCATGGCCTCATGGCCTCATGGGCACCTGCTCATTTCCTACTCGGAAGCAGGGCCAAAAGTCCCATGCCGAATTCCATGGCCTCATGGGCACCTGATCATTTCCTACTCGGAAGCAGGGCCAAAAGTCCCATGCCGCCTTCCATGGCCTCATGGGCACCTGATCATTTCCTACTCGGAAGTAGGGCCAAAAGTCCCATGCCGTCTCTTATGGCCTCATGGGCACTTGCTCATTTCCTACTCGGAAGCAGGGCCAAAAGTCTCATGCCGTCTTCCATGGCCTCATGGGCACCTGCTCATTTCCTACTCGGAAGCAGGGCCAAAAGTCCCAGGCCGCCTTACATGGCCTCATGGGCACCTGCTCATTTCCTACTCGGAAGCAGGGCCAAAAGTCTCATGCCGTCTTCCATGGCCTCATGGGCACCTGCTCATTTCCTACTCGGAAGCAGGGCCAAAAGTCCCAGGCCGCCTTACATGGCCTCATGGGCACCTGCTCATTTCCTACTCAGAAGCAGGGCCAAAAGTTTCAGAGTAATCATTCTAAAACATTAATCGAGAAGAGTTTTGAAAGAGATAACTTGTTATTGAAATATGATACGGACCCACCATGGTATGGGCCTCAAATGTAATAAATGACCCAATTGGCAATGCTGTAACAAGTGGAGATATTGACTAGAATGCCCTCCAACAGATAGAGCGTGAGTGTCATTGAGTTTGTTATATATAAGGGAGGCAGGAAGGAAAGGGGGATCTGGAATATTTGGCATTTGCTTGGGCCCTTTTGGGATTGGGAGAGAGTGGAACCTTTCATATGTGTTCCACATTATCTTTACTTTTGTTGCTTGTTATTTTCATATGGATTCTGTAATTTCTTTCACGTTACAACTTTACTGTTAGAACGTTTCTGTTTGTAATTGTTGCTAGGAAATATATGAATGAGGAATATTGAGATCTGAGTTCTTGAGTAAGCTCTATTTTACATTGATTAATTGGTTGGTCCTTATCAAAATATAACAAAAACAAAATTTTACCAAGTTGCGTTGATACAATAGCGAGCTCTTAAAGTAGTCGGATCAAAATAAAAAGATAGAAACATACCAAGTAATTGAAGAAGTAGCAAAATAACAGATATTCAAAGATTCAGCAGACATAGTCATTACAGCACCAAAAGTCATTTAAGCAAAAAACTAAAATAAGTACAAAATAAAAGTGGCATCTCTCCTTCAAGCATCTTTTGGGGTGTCCTACGATGTAGTCTTATCAGAAGTTGACGCCACACCCACGAACTCGGCAGGACAGGTGGCGAGCACGATAATAGATCCATTCTCATTATGAGTGCATAGTCGGCCATTATCAACAAAGTTGAAGGTGTCGATTTTATCCAAGTTAGTAAGGGCAACATCCGGGTGAAAGAACTTCACTTGGTCGACAGCCCAACCACGAATTTGATGACCAAAAGCAACATATTTAGAGTCCATGTCCTCGGCAGCTTGTTGTAGCGAGCTGACTTGCTTCTTCAGAGTGTCTACTTCCAGTTCCAACTCGGCTACCCGGAGGTCTGAATCCTCAAAGTTCTTTTTCAAAACTTTATGACCTTCAGTCAGCTGGTCATTTTCCTGTTTCAAAGTAGTAAGCTCGTCTCTGGCTTTCTTAGCCAGTTTTTCAGACTCTTTAAGCTTAAGTTGCTTAAGTTAAAACCCCTGCGTGGCAAACTCGGCGGGTTCGGCTCTTTGAGTCAGGCGAGCATGTTTAGTCTTAAAATTGTTATTAAAGAGTCGTAACTCTTTAAACTTGACGATTAATTGCTCCAAGGAAAACGGAGGAGTTAAAGACTTTTCTGTAGGTGATTCAGATCTGGGTTCATTAATCCGAACTTGCTTTCGGGGTTGAGGTTCTCCAGAATCAACAGGCGGGTCCATATCCAAAATCACAGTGTCATTTGGAATGGAACCAGTAGCAGAGGTAGCCGGAATGGAAGAAGGAGTAGGAGAACCTTTTTTTTCACCAGAAGACGAGGAGTGAATCTTCTTCCCAGATACAGTTGAGTCTCCTTGGTGAGCAACCTTTTGTTTTTTACGAGCAAAAAATGAGGGATCCATGATGGTCTTATCTAAAAACAATACATGAGTGCAACGTTAAAAGTCAAGTACATAGGATAATATAACAAGAGGTTAGTCACTTACTTAATTTCTTGCAAATCCAAGCAGGAGAATCTTTATTTGCTAAATAGACTGAGGAGTGATAGAAATATTTTCTTTTGCTAACTCGGAAGTCAGCTTTTGAAACCAAGTAAAAGTTTCAAGTTCGTCAGTACTCAAATTCTTTGAGTTAGTTAAAAATGCTTTAACAGGTGTACTATAATAATGTTGGTTCCAACTGAGAGGGAATCGAGGAGCTCCGTCCTGATCCAGAAAGAAAGCAGAAGGAGTGGCAGATTGAAAAGAAGAAGAAGAAGCATATGGTGTAGCCGGAAGAGCTTCAGGTATACAAATCTTGAAATAATCTTCCTTGAAGTTCTTCCAATTGTCTTCGTATATAGTACACCAGCGAAATCTAGGGCGAGCTTTTAAGGAAACCCAACTATGACGAGTACTTCCTCTATCGATAACATTGCGGAATACGGCGAATAGACAAAAGAAAATCCGAAAAGAGTACGTGAACCCAAAAGATCTACAGATTATCTCAAAAGTTTGTAAAAAACACCAGCTGTTTGGATGAAGTTGCGAAAGGGCGATTTCAAGATGGTTTAAGACGTCCATTTGAAATTCAGTGAAAGGTAAGGATACCTTGAGCTCGGAAAATAAGCATTTATAGGCAAAAAAGAAAGAATTCTCACCTTGCCCGGAAGGTGAACATATACGTTCCTCTTCTCCGGGTGCAGCAACTCGAAAGGAAGTAATAATGGAGTCACGGAATAGAGGGATGGACTGTAAGGCAGCATGAAGATTACTCGAATTATTCTCATATAAAGAACGAAGGCCTAGAGCTTCTTCATCAACCCATGCTAGACCTTCCACAATAGAAGGAAGAGCGAAGCGAGAAAGTGGAAGCGAACGGTAGGGACGATTCCTCGGCGGCATGGCCTGGACGGAAAGGTACCAGTAAAACCTAGTTTAGAAGATATATTACAAGTTAAAAAGTTCAAATGAAGAAAATGGTGGTTATCAGTGGTTATAAGGGTATTCCTAGTCCGTCCAGAACGCATAAAGCCGGAAAAAAAATCTTAAAGAAGATGAAGGAATAAATACAAGGAAGGTTCTTATCAAGATAAAATGTGAGTCTTTCGAGAGCATGTTTAAAGATGCAGGTAATAGTTCTTAGAGTAAAGGTTAAAATTAAACAAGAAAGAAGAAACGAAAGAGAAGAAACAAAAGCAAATGTAAAGATGAAAGTACTTACTGGTATAGTCTGATAACGAACAGCAACCAAATGCAGCAGAGTAGTTTGATGAAGAACAACAACTAAATGCAACAGCATCACACCAAGTTTGCACAAAGAATTTCAAGAAAGCACAGAAAGAAGAAAAGACCAGAAAACTTAAAAGAGAAGGAGATGAAGAAGAAGATGATGGAAAAGAAGGTGGGGGTTTTAAGGAGAAAAAGGAAAGGGGTGAATGGGAAAATCAAAGTAGGTAGTAATAAAGAGAAGCGAAAAAGTAACGGGCTTTTCGAATCTCGAAGGACAATAATGGCTGTCAGGATATGACGTTTCAGATGGGCAACCGTTTGAGAATCAAGGCAACAAGAAAGTGACAAATGGCAATCAAGATTAGGATTAAGTAGGAAGCATTTAATGAGGATGCTGACGTATAAGAAAGAGAAGATATAAGGGGTAAAATAACTTATAAACTCGGAGTAAAATAGACATTGCACTCCGAGCTTGGGGGCTTAATGTTCCGGGTTTATACATCCGGGTATCAATAGTCAAGGAAAAGAGTTGATAGAACCCGGATGGGGTTTTACCCGGAAGGGAAGTCGGCCAAAATACTATAACCCAAAGTGGGCCCTACCACGATTACATGATGGGTTTCTATAACTACCCACGTTCACAATAACCACCTATGGAAGGGTTATATATACCAAAGACCATAACTAACATAGGGGATAGACAATAATCATACTAATGTTCATACACAACAGCAATAATTTTCAAACGGGGAGTACTAAATTATAGAGAAGCAGTTTTACCTTGAGAACCATCAGCTTTCTTAACTAAGGACTCATAATCATGGGGCGCTTTCTTTTAGTCTTAGGTCCAAATGCATCCTCAAAAGGCTGTCTATCAAGAAGGTGAACCCTTGATTGCTACATTCGAAATCCACAAAATTAGTAAATTTCAAAAAAAATAATAATAAAAGAAAGCACATAACTATTAACAAACAAAACAAAATCCTTGCAACAAATAAACAGCTTAATAAATAAACCTTTTGGTGGTCGTTGAGGAGTGACAGTGGCAATTTCTTCTCCTTCAGAATAACATTGTAATTACTCGACATGCGGCTCTGCAGCTCTTCTCTGAAGAACTCAAGCTCTTTCTGATTCACAACCCGAGTGTTCCCTACAGGCTACAGATCATGAAACCGAAAAATTAAAATAAAATAAAATTGTCAAAACCATAAAATTCACAAGTTCAAGTTGAAGAATCGTGATTATTATTTTATTTTTTGTTGTGAAATTGAAACTAACCGAACCAACGGCGATCAGGTTGGATTCGCGTGCTGGGAAGCTCCTTAGACTGATATTCGTTGGTCAAAACCTTTCCCTTGCGGTCGCGAACTGGCCTCGTGTTGTACATCTTGAGGCGGCGCACGGTGGCGGCGGAGCGTGACTCCTTCTTCGTGTCATTGCTGCGATTCACGTCGAGTGAATGCTTCGGTTTTCCCGAGACGTTCACTTTCCTCTCCTTCTTCTTCGTCATTGCAGAGATAGAGAGAGAAACACAGAGATATAGAGAGAGAGAGTGGTAGTGAGGTTCAACTTGGTTTGTTACGTTCAACTTGGTTTGTTCCAACTGAAAGAGGGGTACCGCCAAATACACACAGTTAAGGATTAGGGTTTCGTTCTCCAGAGACAAACGGTGGGAACTTTTCTTTTCTTTTCTTTTTGCGAAAAGGATTAAACCGGGGAGATTATTTATAGTGGAGTGGTGGGGACCAGTGTAAATGGAGAAATAAAATTGAAAAAAAGAAAATATCACAATGGTAAAAAAGGAAAAAAAAATTGATGATATGATAAAGAGCATCAGATTATTCGATGATTCTGAATAGGGGTGTTCGCGGTCTGGATTGGATCGGTTTTGGAAGCAAAAATCATCCGATCCAATCCCTTCGGTTTGATCATATAATTATCCATTCGGTTTGGATTTTTTTTCAAATCCGATCCGATCCGATCCAATTTTTTTCGGTTTGGATTGGATCGGTTTTCGGTTTTTAGAAAATCCTAAAATTTATTTCATGATTATTGTGCAAATAACATCTTTTGTATATATTCTCTTTGTAAATTATTATTTTTTGAAATACAAAAACATTAGTAAACTATAATATAGTTTTTTTTTTGGACAATGAGATATGAAGCTCTACAAAGATAAAATTTTGTTGATGAGATGTGATTAGATTTTTTCTTGGATTTAGTTAATGGGTCTTGGGTTTAGAAATTTTTTGGTTATAATTAAGGAAAGACCCAAGTAGGTAGAGGAGAATTAATATATTGGATCGGTTTGGATTGGATCGATTTTCATCAACTCATCCAAAAACCGATCCAATCCAATTAAAATTTGCGGTTTTTTTTCGGTTTTTGATTTTTCGGTTTTCGGTTTAATCGGTTTTCGATTTTTCGGTTCGGTTACCGCGGTTTGAATCGGTTTGGATCGGTTGATGAACACCCCTAATTCTGAACCATAAAAAATATTTCTAAACCGGGGCCCCAAAGTTAAGTTAGTGGGCCTTGGAGCTCCTATTAAGAAAAAGAAAACAAAAAGTCCAAGAAAAGAGCCAGAATATTTTTATTATTTTTTTATTATGTATTTAAATAAGATTTTTCAGCTGAAAAAATTAAAAAATATATATTTGAGAGTCAGAGTATTTTGGTTGAAAGTTGTTTTTATTATAAAGTCATGCTTACTCACCTACTTTGATAATATTTTTAATTAATAAAAACTGTTTCGAATAATTTTAAAATGAAATTTAAATGTTTGGAATAAGAAAAAAGAATTTTGTATACCTTATCTTACACCGTTATACCTAATAAAAGAAAAAAGAACGAGAGAGAATGTGTATTTAAAAATGTGTTTTTTTCTATTTTATTACTTATAAAAATGGCAGAAAATTTTTGTAATGAAATTGTGTGTAAATAAAATAGTCTTTTTTTCTTCGTAAATTCAAGAGGTATCGCCACTCAATCAGAGGGTGTATTTACAAAAACTGTCATAATCAAACTAACAGAATTCAAATTATATCATCTGAATTAGTTTATTTTATCTTTATTTTGATTTCTTTAATTTATTTTATCTAATTATTAGTAAGATTTAATGTTTGTCCTTTTAAATGACATAGAATTATATTATTTCAAGTGAGAAAAAAACACAAACAATGAAAATAATAGAAAAGAAAGTAAGTATTTTTTAAAAAATTAAATTTTAAATACATTTTTTTAAGTTGTGTCTCTTTCACACTTAAAATGAAATAACTCTATTTCCTTTAAAGAATAAATATTTTACCTTATTAATATTAGTTAACTTATTTCAAATTATATTATTAGATAATTTATACTTATCCACAAAAAAAGATTTTTATAGTTATGTCTATGTTTTTATATTATATCTTAGAAATGAACTTTCATTTACTACAATCAGATTTAAAAAATAACAATAAATAATTATTTTTTTTGCAAAGATTTGTGTCGTTAGTCTTTGGAATTTCACAAATTTATATTTACAAAAATTGAAATCAGATTTAGTAATTTAATTATAAAAGAAGAAAGATAAAATTTAAGTTGAATTATAAAAATATATTAGCGGGCCGGCCCTCTGGGCCGAGCTCAGCTTTCCACCTCTAACTATCAGCATTTTATATAAATAATTTTTTTTTTGCAAGGATTAGTGTCGTTAGTCTTTGAAATTTCACAAATTTGTATTTATAAAAATTGAGATCAAATTTAATAATTTAATTATAAAAGAAGAAAGATAATATTTCAATTGAATTATAAAAATATATTGGCGGGCCGGCCCGCAGTTTTCCACCTCTAGCTGTCAACATTTTAATTACACTCTTGCAATAAAAAAAATGAAAGTTTAATTTCTTTCTTATGTATTAAATAAAAATTTTCATTTTTATAGTTCTTTAATTTAAAAAAAAAATTTACAGAATGACAATTGTCATTTTTTATTTAAATTTAAAATTCAAAACTTTTTATGTTAATTATACATTTTTTTAAATATAATTTTTTTCTATTTTAATTTATGATTTTTATATATTTTTTAATTGGTTATACATGTATATTTAAAAATTTTATGTTAAAATTTAAATTTATTTTTTGTAAATTATAAATTATGCCATTTCTTATTTTTTCTTTTAAATTTTAAATTTTAAATAATTTTTATCGACTATAAATGTATTTTATAATTTTAAAATTTTTATTGTTTAATCTATAATTTTATATTAAATTTAAATTTATTATATATATCTCTTTTTACACTGCAGAAACAATAAATGCTGAACTATTTTTTCACCTATCAAATTCAAAATTTAAATTTAAAAGTTTGAATTATAAATATTAAAAACAATTCTCACTCAATAGACTTAAATAATAAATATTATTAATAAACTTAAATTCTTTCACAAAAAGTAGTGGAAAACATGTATTAAAAACCGTGCATATTCTCCAAGTAATAACTTCTAGTTATTCACTCACGACAATAGAAAATTGTGTTAATTAGACCCATTAACTAAATCAAAAGAAAAAATCTAAACATCTCATATATCAAAATTTTATTTTTTGTGATTAAATTTTTATATATTATAGTTTTAATGTTTTTGTATTTCAAAAAATAATAATTTACAAAGAGAATATATACAAAAGATGTTATTTGCACAATAATCATGAAATAAATTTAGGATTTAAAAAACCGAAAACCGATCCAATCCAAACCGAAAAAAAATTCGGATTTGAAAACCGAATGGATAATTATATGATCAAACCGAAGGGATTGGATCGGATGATTTTTGCTTCCAAAACCGATCCAATCCAGACCGCGAACACCCCTATTAAAAACCGTGCATATTCTCCAAGTAATAACTTCTAGTTATTCACTCACGACATAGAAAATTGTGTTAATTACACTCTTACATCAAAAGAATAAAAGCTAAATTTATTTCTTATATATTAAATTACATTTTTGTAGTGATTAAATTTTTATAATTTATTTTTTACAAAACGATAGATGTCATTTTTATTTTATTAAAATTTAAAATTTAAATTCTTTGTATTATTTTTGTACCGAGTGTCACAATTATATAACTCCATTGATAATAGATACTAATGCATTCACTTGTATTTGATTGTAAACTTTAATTGTAGCATACGTTATCTCACCATTAAAATCATCAATAAATTCAAATGTTGAAAATTTAGGGAATTGGTATTCATTTTAATTTTATTCCATCAACATACATTAATGAACTTTTCAACGAACTAAAGGAGGTTTTTTGAACATATTTTTTGTATTAAATTAATATACACTTTTCAATAAATATTATTATTCTCATTTCTATGTAGAAAATAGTGAGATATTAATACAATTGTCTGCCACTAATTAATGTTGAAATCTTTTTCTACCTATATTATGTTTAAAATTCGAATTTTGAAAAAGTAGTGTGGGTATTTTTTTTTGGTAAGCAGTAGTGGGGGTATTAATATAGATGTTTGCCACCAATTAATGCTGAACTTTTTTTACTCTTATATTAAGTTTAAATTTCGAATTTTAAAAGTTACTGGAATTTTAATAGGCCTGGCAAATACCAATGCAGGAGTTAGTGAGATCTTAATTGAGTTTTTAAAAATATGAAAAGTTATTATAATAGGAAACATTTCAAATTCCTGTGGGTGTGAACACAAAGCTGAAAATAATTTAGAAATTTGAATTTGATATTATGAATCAAGACAATTACAATATGAGAAGTTGAAATAATAATTATTTTCTGGGTACAGAAAATAAGAGCCCCAAACACAACAAAATGAAGAAACACTCTCTAAAAAAATATGAAATTAATATGTTGTGCTATTAGAAATTTATCCATCGGTTACAAATTCTTTTTCAGCATCAAGACAAAAAACTATTCACAGGCATCGAAGACGTTGAAGACAAAAAACACAGGCAAGCACTACACAGCATCGAAGACATTGAATACAGGCAAAAAACTATTCACAGTAGCAAGAAACATGAAACATTCCATCCTGAAAAACGAAATAAAGAGAATAAGTATACAGAATACAAAACAAACAAAAGAGAATTAGTATACAAAAAATGAAAACAAATTAAGATCATTTGTTTATAAAGGAACCAAAAAAAAATACAACATCAGCTACAAAAACGAACGAAGAAACAAAACATAGGCAAAAACTATTCACAGTAGCAAGAAACCTTCCGCCCTGAAAAAAAAAGAGAATCAATATACAGAACACAAAACGATCAAAAGAAAATTAGTATAGAAAAAATGAAAACGAATTAAGATCATTTGTTTATAAAGGAACAAAAAAAATACAACATCAGCTACAAAAACGAACGAAGAAACAAAACACAGGCAAAAACTATTCACAGTAGCAAGAAACCTTCCGCCCTGAAAAAACAAAAAAAAAGAATCATTATACAGAACACAAAACGATCAAAAGAAAATTAGTATACAAAAAATGAAAACGAATTAAGATCATTTGTTTATAAAGGAATAAAAAAAA